GTCCAGCCCCTGCGAGCTTCCCGAAGATCAAGTCTTTGGCCTCAGCACCCCCGAAGGAGACCCCTGTATCCCCCCCCGTCCCCGACAAAGCATCTGGTGCCGGGCCCTTCGCTGGTCTTTTTGGCGGGCGCCCTCTTTCATCCTCTTCCAAGGGCTCCAACAGTATCGGGAAAGCTAAGGCAGGTAAAGCGCCCAGTAAGCCCTTGCCGCCCATGGCAATGCCAGAGAGCGCCAAGCCCGCACTCAAGTCAGCAAATGACAGCAAAGGTCAGTTTACCGGCATATTTGGTACTTCGCCAACAAGGACTCCTTCACCTCCGAAACCTCAAATAATGAAGCCTGCGGCTATTGATGACAAGAAATCGTCACAGGATGCAGGGGCTAGCGGCGGGATAGGAGTGTTCGGTGGACTTTTCGGGAAAGCCAAGGTAGAGACGAAGAAGGCTCAGCAGGTGCCCAAGAAGCCCGAAGGTTCGGCAAAGTCTGGGAAGTTGGACGAAGTAAGTTTGCTGTCTTTGAAGCAGACGATCCGCCGAGAACAAAAACAAGCTTTGAAATCCCTCGGGAAGAAGAATTAAGGTGTCAGGAACGTAAGAAATGGATGACGAAGCAAAGAGCAATGATGTTCGAGCCGTATGTGTGTGGCACACAGGTGAGAGTGCATTTTATGCGTGGGCTCAATTCATCTGTCAAAAGGTGCTGGAAAAACATATTTGAAAGAAAAAAAAGTCGGGCCGAGAGCTTTGGAGTACTTGTGACGTGTTTCCGGTCTCTCACGTCGCAGCCGGCTATCCCTAATCCTAACTCGAACAACTATTTGAGGAGGTTAAACATGTTCTGCACTTGTTTCTGATTTGAGCTTCTCCAAGTAAATCATAATTATTCGTCCATCTCTGCTAATTCGTTCGGCGTTTAAATTACCAATCCGTTTATTGTGGCACGACTTCTCAGACTTTGACCTCACTAACGGGGTCGTATGATCCTCAAACGGGGGATACTTTAAGTTCAACCGCGTCCCTTCCTTTTCGACGATGTATGAAGCAGACCACTTGCCGAGCTTGTGTAACCAATAACGCTTGCTTCCTGAATGAGATTTTGATCTTTCTTCCCTGATCAAATCCTCTTGCTCATAAGCTCCTAGACCGCCGGAACGGCCTACTCCGTTTAACTGCTTTGTCAACTGAGGGGCAGTTTGAGACGACTTCGACGTTGGTAGTGCTTTTTCCTAACTTCCATCCTAAACTGATGGGCGAAGGAAATTGCGTGTTTTGCAGCATCGCGGCTCGCAATGCGCCAGCGCACAGGGTTTACGAGGATGACATGACGCTTGCTTTCCTAGACACAAATCCTTTGGCCGACTTTCACACTCTTCTGATCCCCAAACGTCACGTGACCAGCTTTGAGGACTGCGATGATGCAGCTGCCGCTGCTATGGGCGTTTCCCTGAAGAGATTGAGTTGCATCATGCGCGAATTGCGGGGGGATTTCAACATCTTACTTTCTAACGGGAAAAAGGCGGGGCAAGAAGTATGGCATTCGCACTTTCATCTCATTCCAAGGGAGGGACGACAAGATGGCTTGGGATACAGGTGGAAAGCCGGGCAGCTGCCTGCACAGGTTGAGATAACAGATTTTTGTGACAAGGCCATAGCACTGTATAAATCGTGATCCTGTCTCAATCACCTTTTTCCTTATCTTTTACGTCTTCTCTTTGCTTTAATCGAAAGAAGAATAGTGCTATCCTTTTTGGCAGTACGCTAAAAAGCAATGTAGTGACGCTTCCCCGTGAAGTTCGCGGGCGGTGTAAATCAATAGCACTCTTTGCACGATACATTGTCTTTTTATGAGTAAAATCTTTTGAAAGCATATCATTTACCAAGAATTAGTAGAAGCTTACGGGCGCCACAGCACCTCGACCGCATCTGTACGGAAGCGTTGTGTACAAGCAGTGTCGGACAGTGCGAAGGAAGCGCCGTACTGGTGTGCGAAGGCCCCCGCCTGCGCAATCATGCCACCGTTGTCGATGCAGTACCGATGGTCCATCGCGCACACACTTCCGCCACGCTCATCTGCCATAGCTTTCATCATTTCCTGCAAGCGCCTGTTGCATCCTACGCCGCCCACAATCAAGACCTGGCGCTGGCCACAATGAGCCATGGCACGTTCAGTGATCTCCACAAGCATGGCGAAGATGGTTTCTTGCAGCGAGAAGCAGAGGTCTGCCGCCGTGCACATGTTGGACTCAAGCTTTACCAGACCTTCTTTTTCAATGAAACTCAACAAGCCGGCGAACGATACGTCCATTCCCTTGACCACATATGGCAGCGCCACATACTGCCTGCCTTTCTTGGCAAGCTGCTCGATGTTGTACCCTGGGGAGGGGTCGTTGGACAGATTTAAGAGACGTGCGAAACGGTCCAAACAATTTCCTACGGCAATGTCAATCGTCTCTCCGAAAATTCTGTAGCGGCGCATGGAATACGCGATGACTTGAGTGTTGCCTCCGCTGACGTAAAGCACAACAGGATCCGCCGCTTTGGTTGCAACTCGCCCCATCTCTACATGTGCTACGCAGTGATTGACAGGAACAATGGGCTTCTTCCACAATCGTGCCAAGACTCTTGCCGCAACGGCGCAAGATCGAAGCGGGCCTCCCATACCGGGTCCTTTGGTAACGCAGATACAAGTAACTTGATCCGAAGTGACTTTGGCTTCGGCCAGAGCGAGTTGGATTAACCCCACAATGTGCTGCTGATGGTGCCAGGCTGTGTCACGAGGCAGAAAACCCTGTCCCGGGGGAGGAATGTATGTCTTTCGGGGGTTTGCTAGGATAATATACTGGTCTTCCTCGCGATCGTTCCATTTAGTCCGCGCCACGTGCTTGACGGCTGCGAGTGCTCCCCTCTCAAGCTTGTACTTCACGATTCCAACTCCAACCTGGAAAAATGAAGATTTTTTTTGAAGACTTACGATGGTACATATTAGAATAGGGGGAAAGCTGGTAGAACGAACCTTATTCGCACTGCCCTCAATGCCCAGAAAGTACTGGGAAGGCAACAGATCCTCGCGCGGCAGGGGGAGGTTACCCTCTATGCCGCTAATCCCCTCCCCCCCCGAATCCATCCAGCGTCTTTCGAACGAAATATGGTGCTGTCTACGCGGCTCTGTGCATTGAAAGTGCCGCCTCATCCATGAAACACTTTCTCTATATGTGTCCTACCACATCGCCTTGTTTCGTTTCGCCCCCTCGCGCTCTGCGTCCTCCTCGGGTCTCCCTCGGACTTCGAAGACTCGCCTGAACCGGCGGAGGTATGCCCGGCGATTCAAGAGCCGTGTGTGCACTCTGCTTTACATCGTATTCCGCTTCTCTTTTGTACATCTACTCCCTGTAGAACCAGCCAGTGATTGATATCTCACTAGTCTCGCTGGACATGACTCCTGCCGCGTCAGCTTTGGACATCAGGGGCGTTGGCAAGAGTCTGCTCGCGGAGTACAGAAAGGCAGCCAACACACAAACCAAAATTGTGGACCTTTTCCTGGCCTTCATAGTGGCGACTGGCGTGCTCCAATTTCTGTATTGTGCACTTGTGGGTACCTTCCCCTTCAACTCTTTCCTCTCTGGATTCTTCAGCTGCGTCGGTATGTTCGCCTTGACCGGTAAGTAGGGGGAGGCAACGCGGTGTAGAAGGCTCTCGTATCTCGCTACTACCTGACTCGGCGGATATCGACAAGCGAAGTCCTCATGGGGCTATTCACGTGCAAAGGGGGAGATTCTGACATAACCACCATAAGCGATCATTTTGCCCATGTGATACAACTGAACTGTCTCAGTTCAATGTCCGCAAAATATGAATCTCATGCGCCCATCCACGCATTATCCAACATGCATAGTTTCCTTGAGGCTTCAGCTGTCGTCTGAAAAGAATGTCGAGAAGGCATTCGGAGAGTACACGTTTTGCTGCCTTTTGCTCTTCTTCGTCGTCTTCAATTTCATTGGATGAGGCGTATGAGCTGGCGATCTAGAGCATTTTTTTTCTTATAAATAATGTCTCTTATCATTGAAAACTATGCATGAAGATGCTTTCGCTCACACTCTTTTTGATGATTTTACGGTTCTACGCCAGCTTTATTTAAAATTGTGTTCTTTCGCGCGTTCAACATGTCGTCCAGGGCTCTGAACCAGTAAATTTATAGGTTGGAGCATGAGTACAATCCGTTGCGTCTTCCTTTTCTTTTCTTTTCTCCTTTATCACCCGCTCCTGACCCTCTTGCTTGAGTGCAACGCGCTTGTCCACACCTCAATGTTCTTTATGAAGTCGCCGGACACGTATGTCGCCCCCCCGCACCGGCAGGTTCAGCTCCAGCGAGTCAAATCCCTCACAAGATACAGTGACTAGGATGCACAACAAACAAGTCGCGACGATATATCCCCAAAAAAAAAGTGTAGGAAGGACGTATGCCATCATCACAACTGTTGTAACTGCAGCAACCGCCACGACAAGCCCCTTCCGGAGTAACCTCTGATACCTGCTCTGACTCCGCTCATTCGCTAATGCGTTATCGTCGCCGTAACCCGAGCGAGGAGCATTGAGCTGAGAAATCGGATCAGGGGAGGTCTCTGAGGACGAGCGTGAGGACGTGGAGCCCACCGCATCCAGGTCAAATCGGAGTTTGCCGCGATTATAGAATGAGGTCAGCAACGCCTCTTTGCGGTCAAAAGACAGTTGAAGAAATTTTTTGGCATCTTCAATATTATCACGACACAAGAGCGGTGTTAGGACCAGGTCCCACCGCTTTAGATTGACGTGTATCTCACGCGGCAGCCGGCCGAGGAGGAGCGAGATATCCGAAGGGCGCTCTCCGGGCTCATAATCGACATAGCCTATTGTCAAGTCTATCACCGCATCCACATGCGGACGTAATATTTCCAGGCACGTGAGGAAGGCACCTGTGCGGGGATGCAACACGTACCTATAGGCAGACAAATTACGGGAAAGGGCATAATTACGATCCCGCTCTTGATTGGAGGGGGAGAGGTCTGTGCCCTCGGGAAATATTATTAGCGAGTTTGGTACCTTAAGTTGGATTAAATAGCGGCAGTTTCGTTTTAAATGGGCTAAGTCAGTAGAACGGTGTTTTTGGCCGCGGCGGATAAAAGGGAATAAGCATAATGACATGCCCCAACCCCACCACGGGAAGCAGCGCAAAGAGTCCTTAAGTATTACGCGATAGGAAGACAGCACATCGAAATATGCAGCCCACGACCAGAGCCACATCCAGTCTAGCCGTGTCCGATGATTACAAATAATAAGAACGTTGTCCTTCTTCGTGAAGGTGTCGCCTGAAATGATCAACTTTACCCCCCCAAAATTTTCAAGAAGCCATGCTCCGAAGGATAACCAATAAGCAGCTATCGTTGCCTCCCATAGTCTCAATACCCGTCTCACAGGTGCATATGGCATAATCAGCAACGCGATGGCAGGTGGAAGCATTAAAAAGTGGCAGAAACAGAAAGCACTCAGGAGTAGCGGAAAAAGGATTGCGATTCCTACATGAATTCGATTAGGACAAGTCTTGCAGGATTTGTTACTTCTCATCTAGCCATGGAGTGTAGGGGGAGTGGTCGGCGCATTGTCAGTTTCAAGGCATCCCATGCAGAGTGTCACACATGGACAATGAGCGAGGGCGGCGGGCTGGGGGCAGTCTTAGTAGGGCAAGGTAGGGCGGCATCACGGTGCTCTTCCGCGCTTCCTCCCAGACGGCTCTCATTCTTGCTATGCAAGTTTGTGCCTGCGAGGGGTAATGGAGAGAGGTGTAAGAGTTTACGGTTCATCTGATGTTGTATTTTTCACGTACAAAACGGATATTTATTGAAAAAATAGCAACAGATTGCTTGCTCCCTTTCTCGTAGCCTCCTCTGACTGCTCATGGAGCAGCTCAAGCGTCGCGGAAATGCCTTGTACAAGAAAAAAAAATCGATGATGCTATTCAAGCCTATGACGAGGCATTAAATTTCCCTTTTGTTGCACCAGGAAAATTAGACCATAATGACGAGGTGAGATGTGGTGGGATATGTCAAGCTGTTAACGATCACAAGTGATGGCCGCACCGACAAATCTGGCAGGAGGCTCGACAAGAAGAAAAGAGAATACAAGAGCTTCGTTGCGCCATTTTTGCGAATCGGGCAGCATGTTATCTTCAAAAAGGAAGATTGACGGAGTGTATCCAGGTATGTCAGCCGATTTAGGATTGAAGGGCTGGAACATGTCTCTCAATTTCGAAATCCTTTCCTCTGCAGGATGCCACCAATGCTCTTAGATCGAATGGAAACTACGTCAAAGCGCTGTATAGACGAGCACAGGTACAAATTTAAGATCTTGCTCTCCCCATTGATTATTTGCCCACCTTTTTCTTCTTTTCCATCATGCCTCAAGGCGTATGCTGAACTAGGTAATTTGCGAGATGCGTTTCAAGACTTGCGTCTGGCGGTAAGTTGGCTTTTTGGCCAATTCAATGATCTTTTTTCCTCGTGAGCTGAATTAAGATTCTTTGGCCACGCACAGCTGGACCTGGATCCCTTCAATCAAGAAATTATACGTGAAGCGCACAGAGTACGAGAGTCTATTCAGAGATCTGAGGCCGAGCGTCAGAGCTCTGGTGTTTCAGTCTACCTCGCGTCCCTTGGAACAAATGATGAAGCATTCTTTAAAAAACAGAATAAAACTGATATGTGGGAAAAATTGATCAGCTTGGTAGGAAAGAACGCAACTGCGGCCGCTGACTTCAGCAAGCAAGGAGGTCCAAGCTTTTTGGAGGCGCGTGCGAAAAAGGGAGATGCAAAAGAGGTCCGTACTTGCATCTTTCTTCATTTTTTAGAGTATCTAGCTTATTTTCTCCCTCTCAATTGACCCAAACCTCCGTCCAGCGCGCTCTTGCGCTTCGATTACTCGCGGCTTGCTCCAAGCATCTTGATTTCCTTGAAGACGCTTTTTCTCCGCCCTCGAATGAGACCATATGCGAGACATCTTTCCCAAAACTCTTCACCAGCTTGTTGCCAAGCCATGAAAAGCAGAAGAACGGGGTAGAAGAGGAAGCTGTGCTGGAAATCGCTACAAATTTCATTCGCCTCGCCGAAACCAACAGACGCCGTACGCAATTTTTGACGCTTGCGATAGACTGCTGGATCACGCTTTTGACTCATCGACGGGTAAGCAATTGAATTTTGCCCACAAATAATTATATGCTCTCTAATTTCAGAGCTTTGAATTCGACGTGACGCTGATACGGTACATCATCACACGTATTAAATAGGAAACGTTTCAAGAAATAGGATTAGCCTCCCTGCTTTCCTGGAGCGCAAACTGTCTGAACGAGAAAGATCAAAGTCTTTCCCTTTTGTTGGCTAAGCCTTCCTGGACGACTCTGCTAAGGTATGTGGAAAGCTTGGTCAAAGAATGCCACACCTCCATACCCAAACCACTTTTTGACTACCAATTGTAAATAGGTTCCTTGAAGACCCAAACGATTCATTCAATGTCTGCTTGCGGCTCGAGGCGGCAGAATTCATAGGTCGTGCTTTTATGGTCCTCTTGTTTCATAAAGGATCAGACGAGGTGAAATCATTTGTCTCAAGCATTCTTGATAACTCGGTTAATGAATTACCTGCTGTACGTAAAGCTGAGCTTGAGTTGCTGGTCACGCTGAGTTTATATTACGCGGACGCCTCTTTAGGATGCTGGTTGTTTAGCACATATGCAGCTCAGGCCAAAAGTCGGGCATCTGTGTTATTCTCGGAACCGCAATACCAATTTTTTATGGCAAAATTATGCAACCAGGCGGCGAATTCAAGTGCGGGGCGTATATGCATGCGTGATCATTGTATGAACATTGTAATACTAAATATTATTAGATCGAACGATGCTCCGTTGGAGGCTCGCGTGGCAGCAGCATCCGCTTTCACAAAGCTCCACATTGCATCCAAAGATATGCCTTTAATTTCATCCGAGCTGACTGACATATTAAACTTATTGAGTAAAGGGCTTCAGGATTGGATTGGTGCATCTCAGACCTTGGGGTCAACGCTCATGCACCGACGCACGTTGTCAGAAAGCTGCGTGGAAATTATCTCATTTCTCGTTACACGGACTGCTTTTAAAAATGAGCTGATGTTTGGTTCTAGCCGCTGCATAGCGTGCGTTCCATTTCTGCTGGAGGTGATGGACCAGCGCGCTGAAAGGAGAACAATTGGCATGAGCACCAACATCAATCGGAGAAATTCCATTTCTGCGCTTTGTGGAAAAACACTCTATGGCGTGGCATTCTCGATGGCCTCTCTGACATTGAACAATGAGGAGATGAAAACTGACGCTTTACAAGAAGGAGGCATTGCTGTTGACGAATATGAGAATATCCAGAGGATCCTACGAATGCAGCAGAAACAGGTACGCCTTACACTGCACGACACACTTGTCAATCTTGTCGACAACACGGTAAAATATTGCTTTTTCTTATCAGCTTCCACAGACAGCAATAGAAGAAGACTTGGACACTGTAGACTCTGCACAAGATGTAGAGAAACGTATTCGAGAACTAGTCCAGCGAAATGTTATCGGAATCATACGCAGACTAGTATCACACACGGAAATAAGTGAAAGTACTCTCGATCAATTTGCCACAGCACTCCTAAACATTGCCACAATTCCAGCACTTCGTGGACAGTTTATACAGGACGGGGGATACAACACTTGTCTAGGCCTGGCTAAGGAAAATAGAGGGCTGGAAGTTACACGTCTGAAATCGGTGCAGGCTCTGGCGAAAGTAAGTGCTGTCAGAGATGGGATTCGCATTATCATTTGTTTGCTTGCATCCTGCCACATCAATGCGAAACCTCTCGCTTTTTCCATATTATAGTGCCTCATTACTACAGATCCCAAGGTTCTGGCAAGTCACCAGCGCACGGCTCCGATACACGCACTTGTATCGCTATGTCGCAATGTCAGAGCAACCGCCCTACAACAATTCGAATCGTCACTGGCTCTAACGAATCTCGCATCGTATGGAAAGGAGTGCATAGATTCGATAGCGCTTAATGGAGGGATAGAATCTTTCTTCTCTTTGCAATTTTCGGAGCAAACGCTTGTAAGACGGGCCGCAACCGAGGCGCTTTGCAACATGGTGAGCCATCCCCTTGTGCTTGCTAAGCTTGGGAAACCTGAGACTCTTAAATACTGGCTGAGTCTTGCAGAAGATTATACGAGAGATCTTCCGCTGTCTCGTGCTGCAGCAGGAGGATTAGCTATGGCTTCCAAGGACGAAGGTAATTCAGAAAAAGACTCACGCATCCTTGTAGGCCGGCGAGGGACCTTCCGGTTTGAAAGCGCGTGTTTTGATATGATACACACCCTGTTTGCCAAACACAACAGAAATAGTCCGATCCATGGCAGTCTTGTCTCCCATTGCGTTGAATACTTGGGGGTCGTTGCTTCGAAGTGGCGAAACAACTCTGATTCACCGAGCTGCAACCGCTATCCGTAAGTTTGCTGCTCGATTTATGTTTTACGTCCTATGATGCTCATAGACTTACCCTTCTCCCTCCCCAGAACATTTACTTTCATTTAACTGCACTCGAGAATTACTGTTCAAAGACGAAAATTTTCAAAACAGTCTGAGGGAGGCTGCGAATATTGATCACCTGTCGGAGGAGATCGGTGACCTGATTCGGATCGCATTATCTCAATTTCCTCGAAAGTGACTTGTGAAAAAGGAGCTGGATCATCGTTCAATGAATCTACTTTTTTGGAAATCATACGCATGTAAGAGAGAAGACAAAGCTTGCCTCACGGTGCTCCTGCCATCGGTCAAGGCTTCAGCTTTTTCCATTCTTTTTCGGATTCCTTAGCTGTCTTTGTTGACTGCTGGTTCATTTACTTTTACAGACTTTCTGTTGGGTAAAACTTTGGCGAAAGTAGCGCGCCAATCATTCGTGTATTGAAATTCCAGCAGGATATCGAATACGTGGTTGACAGCCAAGACCGGGCTTGACCCCAGCTGCACGTGTTCTCGCAACGGGAACCGGGCTGTGGCGATACCCTGTGCAAGCGCTTTATTGTAAGTAGCATGTTTGAGGCGGTTTCGATCCACTATACCTCCAATCACGTAAATCAGCCCAGGGTCTAATTGTGTGAGGACGTTGGGCGAGTCCGAAGTCAAGTAAACGAGCTTGTCTCTCTCTGCTGCGTACGTCTCCATGTAGGGCCGTGTCTCTCGATTAAACCCTTGCCAATTCTGCACTCCAGCTACACACGAAAGTCGTTGTTGTATGCCAGCTCCAAGTCTGTCCGTAAATGTATAGAGTAGGTCAAGGCCGGAGACCAATAAGTAAAGATCGTCAAGAAGTCTTACCCCTCTACATTTATACTAAACAGCATGTATGTGAATTACTCAGTTAACTTACTCAGCAATATGCACGGTGCAAGGAGCAAGAGCACGCTTGTTTGAGGCGTAGACGTACATAAGTTGCTGTCCCAGAGACTTCAGTTCCTTCTCAGTCATATGACTATCGAAGCCGCAGTCAATTACCACGCGCGCACCTTCCTCACACCGCCGCAGAAACGCCATCTGTGCTTCATGTCTTTGATTTTTTCGTTGTTCTCTGCGCTGCTTTCGCAGTAGTTGATCGTTCTTGCTTTCTGAGGTTGCAGCCTGTAAGTTGAGATTGTCGTCCTGACCAACCTCCCCACTCTGCCTGTTTGTCTCCTGTCGTGCAGCCCTCTTGGCTGCTTTCTTGGTCGCTTTTTTCACCTTCCACATCTCTTGTCGCCACAACTTTTTCGCTACGCTTTTAGAAACATCTTTCACGCGAGACGGTTTTCGAAATAAGAAGAGGTTGCCGCCCTTAACTGGTGTTGAAGAGGACGGAGCCGAGGCTGACGGCGGTGCGGGGATGGATAACGTGTCTTCACTCGCGTCGCGCACAGCTTCCGCTGCAGAGTTGGCAGACCTCTTAGGCTCCATTTCACCTAGTGTAGGTTGCTTGGCGAGATGTTTTGGTCGTTAATGAGTCCATGTAGTGTGAGTGCGTGTCGACAGAGGTCGAGTGCGAGGTTGAGCGAACGGGAGGCAACCCTGTCGCTGGCGAGGCCCCACATTGGAAGACGATAAGCACCCAAGCCCTGACCAGATTTTTTGAAGTAAGACTTGTTTAGCTCGTGTCCCCGACCTTCCAGAGACTGCATGATAAATGGAAGGCAGACGTGTTATTTAGCTCACACCACTGATTGCGACAACACAGGTGCCACAGCTAGTCTGGATATGCGCCACAATACCGCTCACTAAAACATAGTACCGACGAGTGGGTAGCACTAGGACGGACATCCACAAGCGCAGTCAAGTATCATGCAGGCAAGTCTGATATGATGTTCCGCGTTTGATTAGAATTTTGGTGAAGTTGCACAATTTGATATCGGTTATATCTATTCAACCTTCAACACTATGACACCGACAGGGTCGACGGATGCAAATTTCCCTATTCCAAATTACATCACTTATGGCTGTTGTGGCAGTCCATCCTGTTGCGGCCTTTGTTTCCTCGAAGCCTGCCTTCAATTTTAGGTCGCGATCTTTTTACGGCATTGTGAACCGTCAAGAAATTACGACTCCCTTCCGCGCAAACTTGGTAGGACCTGTGAATCCATCTCCCTGTAGGGTACGACTGAAAGCAGAGGAAGCAAGCAAAGAACCGGAAGGAGATGGTGGAAGGCGACGGAAGGTAATCAGGAAGAAGCGTGTCCGCAAGGATCGATCTCAGGAGGGTGGCGCCGCGTCAGAAGCAGGTGAGGCCTCGCCGCCCATGGATCCACGGCTAAAACAGGCACAAGAAGACATCATGAGAAGGGAGTTTGATCGAGAACTAGTTCTTGAAGAGTTTGCTACTCCCCGTGTCAAGGACCGGGTCCGGATTCCCACACCTAGCGCTGTCGTTGCGGACAGACAGTTGGAGAAAGGTGAGAGAGAGGGTAACGGACGATATGAAGCCAAACAAGACAGGCAAAAAGAACAAAACGAGAGGTCGGACACCCTCGACGCCGCAATAAATAGTGGTGTACCAGAGAATCTACGCTATGACCCTACCTTGGAGCTGCCGATCCCCTCGGAGACGGTTGTCTCCCTCTCAGACCTCGCCACCAAGTTTGACGCCGCCATCGAGACGAAGGGCACAGCACTCCCCACACTGGCAGAGCTGGGCAAAAAGGCGAAGGTTTCTATTTTGCGAAGGCAGCTGGAGGAGGAAGAAAAAGCGACCAAAGAGCTGGAACCCATTGATGACTACGACCTGAGCTCCGCCATCCTTGGGGAGGGCCGGCCTGTCTTGGGCATCGGACTACCGTATTTGCAAAGCTGCCATACAGTCATAATTCTTGTGAGCCTTTTGTGTGCTTTCATTGAGTTTCCCGGCTTTCCGCTGACAAATTTCCCCTATGAGTTGCGGGATTTTCTGAAGCAGGGCCTTGTGGCGGTCTACCTGATCAACGCCGTCTTGGCATGGGACAGCATCAAGGAGGCGCGGAAGCGGGACCAAAGTGTCTTTTTCTGGGCGCTTAAATGCTTTGTCTTGGGCGCGCTTGCCCACAACGAGCTGTTGCTTATCCGAGAAAAGCCTCAGAATGTCGCGTGAGGATGACAGGAAAAAGAGGTAGAGAAGCGTGATGAAGAGAGTACAATTTCAAGCGCTGTGACATTTCCCCACTGTATCATTTCTTTTTTCAGATGTTTTATAGGTTCTAATCTGATGATTCAGAGCTCTTTCATGCTTCTTCTTCACGACACTTTCGGTGCTAAAGTGCCCTGGCATCAACAACACTCGCTCCTACACTTTCTGCGGCCTGAGACGCCACGCGCTGTGTGCTCCCCCGTGGCCCCTTAAGAAGGCGGAGAAGGATTTCCTCATAATAAGCGACTGCACGCTGCAACTCAGGAATGTGGATGAGTTCGTGGTCGCTGTGTGCGTCCAAGATGGATCCGGGGCCCATAAGAAAGGCCTGGGCGGTGGGTTCACGCAGATCGAAGTAGGCTATATCCGTGTTAAAACACGCCACGTCCGTGGCATATCCTTCAAGCGTATTTAATTGCACGGGAGTATTCGCAGTGATGACCTCCACGTCCGCGCGATCGCCCACAGTTGCTCGCACAGTCTCTAAGACCTGCTCGGGAGGTGTTATCAAGCGGAAGACAAGGGTAGCCTCAGCCTCCGCTGCCAAAGCATTAGCAGCATGCCCGCCTTTTAGCAGGCCAATGTTAAGTGTAGTGGCCCCCAATTCTTCATTTTTAGGCCAATGAGCACGTTTAAGATCTTGCAGAGCGTCTACAAGTGGGTCGATGGCGGACTTTCCCAAGCTCGGATAACCGCTATGGCAGGACACGCCATGCGAAAGTAACCGCAGTTTCAGGAGACCCTTCTGAGAGCGAATCATTTTCGACCCTGTTGGTTCACCAACTAAAAGAAAGTTGGGGCGGAGGTTTAGACTGTTCGCTTGCTTCATACCACTGTGATCGGTCTCCTCCGAAACCACGTAGAGTAGCCCCAGGTCTGCGGCTTGGCCCGACTCGACCAGGCGTTGTGCCGCCAGTAATTGTGCGGCCAGAATACCTTTTGTGTCGCAGGCACCCCGACCTCTAATTATACCGTTTTGTCGATCCACGGTCGCGGAATAGAAGGGGGGTACCGTGTCAATGTGAGAATTCAACAGAACCTTCGGGCCTTTATCCCGACGTGCGACGCCAGTGCCGGGACGGAAGGCGTAGACGTTCCAGCGTTCACCCTAGGATGAGTTTTTAGAAGCCGTAAGTCCGTGACCTCGAGTATCGGCCAGGAAAGGGTGTTCATTTTTCTCACCTCTTCCTCGTGCCCGAGGGCGGGCGGCACCGGCTGAAGAACAACCTCCCACCCACGCTTGCTTAACCACCCTTTCAGAGCGTGTGCCATAGCGTGCTCACTCCCCGATAGCGACTCGATGTTTATGAGAGACTCGGCCAAGCGAATCACTGCTTCACCTGGTGAGTCCTCGTTTCTCTCGTCGATGTCAGGCAACATCGATGGCAGCGGCCCGGTCGGGGACTGGACAGTACTAGCTGACGAGGTAAAGGCCAGCATCCCAAGGAATAACCCTAATATGGAGAGGCGTGCCGAGACAACAAAATCAAGCCGTCCCGATGTAATCATGCCCTGCAGTGAAAGGTTTCGTAACACAGAATATGCGTGACCTTGACCAGTTATCCGGGAATGATCAGGGAAGACACGTGCAACCACCCCCCTGACAGAGTGCTGCCAGAGGCTGCTCGCTCTCATCGCTGAAGTGCAAGGGAAGCGCGGACGATGTGCGGCCGCAAGCTGATGAGGAGTGCGTTTCCAAGATGAAAAAACGATAGGTCATCGATTATTTAGTATCCTGATTTCGTGAAAGAATTGCTGTAAAGGAGGAAAAACGTCAAGCAACAAAACAAAAAGAGCCTTCCCTAACCTTTAGCTAGTTCACTTCAGGCCTGTAGAACGGGCTGACATGAATCCCCGAATCCCACATCATTGACAACACAGTACTTTAATAATGCCTTTGGCAAGGAGACTCATGGAATTTTTGTTCATGCTTTTGCTTGTGGAAGGCGACGGGCTGGTCGCGAAGATCTTTTTCCACAATAAATTGCCTACTCAGCTCCCGTGTTCCACGATGGCGTGTTGTCGCAGAAATCCAGCGAAGAATCAAGGTCGAAAGGGAGGGGGGAACGAGACTGAGCATGCGCATACGCAACCCCAACAGCTTTGTATCCGAAACCAGCATCACAAATCCGCGGAGGGGGGGGCCGACTTTGCTTCATCCCTCGATCCGTCAAGCAAATCAACTTCTCCTCTTGACTCTATTACAGCTTTCAAACCAGACATTTTATCTCCAAGTTCTTTTATTCTCTTCGCACTCATGGCTTTCTACATTGTGGATGCGTGTCTCTGCGACCTGTGGCTACCGCCAGCTAATGCGGTAGATTCTAGTCTCATAACAGAAATCGATGTAGCTGGGATCTTGCAGAAAGCTGGAAAAAAAAGCGCTTGGAGGGGGGCTTTCGGGTGCGGTCGCGTCTTTAGTCCAACTTATTACGTTGATGTGGCTTCGCACCACCATGCAATACCAATACAGATATGGGTTGCCGTTTGCAGCCACTGTTCAGCAACTTTACAAGGAGGGCGGCATAACTCGCTTTTATCAAGGCTTGCCCGTCGCCCTTTTCCAACTTCCACTTTCCCGATTCGCTGATGTTGCTGCTAATGCGTTTATGATTGCTGCTCTCGATTCGTTTGAATCAACGCGCGGCCTACCTTTACCTCTAAAGTCCGCTTTTGGAAGCATCGCGGCGGGTACCTGGCGATTGGTATTGACACCTTTGGACGTGGTAAAGACAACATTGCAGGTATTATTCGTTATGTGATACGGACCTGAACTACGGCTGGGACGCATGAATTGATTGAATAGCGGTGTAAAATCTCTTCAAAGAGCTCACTCACTAACGCATACACAGGTCCAAGGCTCAAAAGCTTTGCCGCAGCTCGCAGCGCGGCTAAGAAGAGAGGGAATTCCTTCACTTTATCAAGGAGCTGTTATTCAAGCAGTTGCCACGGCTGCGGGACACTGGCCGTACTTTCTAACCTTCAATTATTTATCGTCGATTATCCCCGTACCACCTTCAGGTGAAATTTTTCCGCGTCTGGGTAGAAATGCCTTCTTAGGTAATTTTGTGGTGTGCCAAAGAAAAAGCTTTCGGGTTAATACTACAAGCCGTCGATTGGAGCAAATTCAATTTGTGCTTACATTTGATTCATGCACTGTGTGTGTCTAGGTTTATGCTCTTCCACAACATCGGACGTGTGCTCGAATTGCTTCCGCGTTATCAAAACTACCAAACAGACGTCAGAATCATCAATTACATACCGGCAAGCTCTACGTCACATACTGGATGAGGATGGCATTCAGGGTTTATTTGCTCGAGGCTTGCAAACAAGGTTTTTCGCGGGTTGGGACTTGATGTCGGCGGGCTTTTGGGGTACACTTAACATCAGAAGGGCTGCGGAAGTACAGGTGGCTTAAAGGGCATTTCTCCCCCTCCCTCACTCAGGTTGGCTGCAAACGCTCTTCAAGGAATGTTGTTTGCTGTGGTATGGCGGTATCTGGAAGAATCCCAGCTTCTTTTCGGAGGCTAATGCACGCAGCTCTATTGTGTATTTCTTCTGTTGCCTGTTATGTAGTGTGCAGAGAGCTCCATGCATAAAATTAGGGATGATCGTAAAACGGATTTAAAAAGATTGACGACTTTGCCAAGCAATTCGATGGAAGGCTTCTTTGGAGCTTTTTTACAATGTCAAGCATTTCACCGCATAGTCTTTGTTTGTCTTATCATATTTCTCTTCCATCGATGCCATTTCCACACTAAGGCGGTCTTTCAGCTCAGCTGGTCCAAGATTGCCGCAATGATACTGGATTATGATGTAGACTGAAATTTGGTTCAGAGCTCCTCAACTCCTTCCTGTTGTGTGTATCATATTTATATGTCGAGAGCATACCGCTTCTTTCCATTTGAAAATAGAAAAAAAAAATTATAACATCCCACAACGATGTCATCTAAAAGCAAGAAATGAGAAACAGAACTGCTTCAACATCTGTCAAATCCCTTACCTTGGCTCTGTCCATGGCTTCCCTTGACTTTTCTTCCACTGTATCCATCGCATTCTGGCCTTTCCGGTTTACGTGCTCTCCGCCGAAAACTTCCTTCATTTTACGTGTAGCAGTCCCCACCAGGGTTTCACCAGATCCCATCGTCTCATCTTTGATGCCATTTTTAAATGCAGCACCTTCTTCTCCTTTCTGTTTTACTTCGTGGGCATACTCTTTTGCATGCTCAATTTTTTCCCCAGTCACCCCTTTGACAGCTTCAATGTTTTCGTCCACTTTCTCTTTCCCCTGCTGCAGCATATTTGCAACATTGTCCTTCATCTGCCGGATCTTGCTTTGACCCTTCTGAATTGTCTCTTCTGTTTTACCCTTTGTCGTTTCATAGCCCTGCATGCCTTGTCGGCGCGCTTCCTTCATCGCCTCATTTGCACACCCCACACCCGCTTCTGCCCTTTCATGGGCGGACTCCGCCATTTCCTGACTTTTTTCTTTCGCTGAGTGGAAGGGTGCGGTCACTGTTTCTTTAACAGTATCGTATATTCCATGCCCATGAGCCTTCACTGCATTTGCTTGCTCATTCGCTTGGTACTTTGCTTCTTGCATGATAAGATCTGCTGGCTCCTTCGCATGATGGTGAAAGATGTTTCCAATTTTCTCTTTCGCACGCTCCATGACGTCTTCGCCATGCTTCACTGTACCTCGACCTTTTTCGTATGCTTCGTACTTCGGAGCCTCCTCCGCCGTCTCTAACCCTACGACGTGTTTGATCTTGTCTGCTGCTTTATCCATGAAGCCCTCCTCCGCAGCTGCCACTAAAACCAGCAATACTGCCCCAAAAGCGAGCGATCGAGTATTCTTCATGATGGAGCAAGTATTAGCTTGTCACCTTAGGAGAAAAGGGTCAGAAGATAACACCAGATCTATAGTCCTATGCATGTAAGAAAAAGGAGAAGGCGATGTGAAGAAAGGGCATGACTCCCGATAACACACCTTTTTATGGTTTCAAAAAAAGCGGAAGCTCTTATTTTCCTTGATACACAAAAAGGGAAGTGGATCATTGCTGCATGTTCTGATGTTGATTACATTTCTTGCGACTTCGTTACCGCGGAATGTTCCCGCTCGCCGTGTGGCACCATATAATGCGTAAGAATGCGCCTCACGGAAATCAATACGTACTACTAGAAATAGTGGGGAACTTGAGGATGGTTGTAAGACCCAGCTACGTCGAAGCACCAGCAGAAGGTAGGAGCATGGCCGGGAAAATCAGCCTGTTGGCATTGATTTCTATCCGTGCATCACATAATTTGAACATACTCAGCAGAACAACAACTTTAGTGACGTAAACGCCGAAATGCACCGATGGTGACGGAATGCGGCGTGAGACCGACGGGCAGCTGTCGGCGTTCATCTGCCGTCGTATTACCCAGAAATACCTACGCCTTTTTTCTGTACAGTGAATCAGACTTACTAGCCATCCTCACGTAAGGGCCTCGTAAAAAACATACAAAGAAATACATTAGACCTTAAACATATTGCGAGCCATTTTTTGCATTGTTATCCGCCCTGCCTTCGATGAGTGGAGAAAGGATAGGAGAAGACGAAGCCGTAATGTCAGGCACCGAGATAGAGACAACCTCAAGGCTTTCAAGCAGACGTACCAAAAATAATAACTGTAAATAAAACAAAAAAAGCATCTGTCGGCCGAGCGTGTGCCCGTTGCTCATCAGGAAAATTACAGGAAACCCCGTTTGGGCATGGAACCTCTGTTCCGTTACGCTTCGCGCGAGCGCAAAGCAAATGGTGTCCCGAATGCCCTCTAAAGTTGCGAAAAGGGACAATGTAACTTCAGGAAAAAATACTTTCAATAATTAATTCTTTGCCTTAGTCAGGAGACAATCCACACTTTTTACATCATTTTCGAAGAGTGAGCGTAGGTGAGTCTCCACTTGTACAAAGTCGCACGATCCGACTCGGCCTTTACATGCCTTCACATCCATTGGAAAGAGCAACAAAAACACCTTGAATAACGCGCCGTCGGTGCGACAGGAAGGAGAATGCGACATGAGATGTGTGCACGCTCTTAGCTTTTCCTGTCGAGCGTCGACATGGTAAATGCCAGTATATCGTGTTGCACGTGTTTTGCAGGGATGACTTATCTGTTGAAGACTGAGCGAAAGATCGTCTTATGTTCAAATCATGAAGGGCACGGGGAAGAAAATTGGGACAACAACATTCAGCATCTCTTCCAGAAGCGTGAATGGGGTGGACGGTGAAGTAAGTCTTGTCTTCTAGAGAAGGAATTTAATGCCTGAATATATCATGAAAAGACATGCCAAAAGAAATGAAAAAATACCCGCACTCTTGCCAAAAGAATATCATTTGCAGACTATTTTTCATTTCTGGCATTTCACATGGTAACGCGTGGGGAATCTAAGTAGTACAAATCATACCTTCCGTCATGCAATACAAAGCCCCGCTCCAGGGCTAGAAAGAGAAGGACTGCAAAAATGATTTTGAAAGCGAAGGAGCTAATTCCTTCCGAACGCCAGCGCTTTTCCCGGTCTTTCCCATCTTGAATCGAAAACACCCTTTCATCAAGGATTGCTGATTTCGTCTTTAACTCTTCAAGTAAGGCACGGTTTTCAGCCTCAAGCTGCCTCACTTCTTCGCCCTGAGCGCCCTCCAAGCGTTGACTTCCGCTTTCTCGAATTGTCTGTAGCTGCTCCAGCTGCATGCTGCTAGTGGATGCTACCCATCGATAAAATGCTCGCCGCGAGTTTTTGAGCATGTGTTTTGTGCGAATATTCATCAACATTCTCCGAAGCACAAACATGGAAATGTTTTGCTGGTCTTTTTCAACTCTTTGCTTCGCTTTTTCCATTTGATGCATTTCTGCGGCGATTCGACTTATCTCCTCGTTAAGGGTAGTGACCTGCACGCGCGAGGATATGACTGGCTTTAGCAAAAGACTATAACACAAATTACATCCAAGACTATAACACAAATTACACCCAAAATATAGATAGAAAGGGAGAAAGACTAGATTGATTTGTGTAGGAATCCGTTATAGGAATCCGTTCACATACTAATTTCGCCGCCATACCGTTTTTTCGAAATGCTGTTGATGACCCTCCCGCTCCTGTTCTAGAGCATCTTTTAGAGCATCCACGCAGCGCATCAGCTCCCGTTTTTCAATCTCCATCTGTACTCCGGAATGGAAAATTGACAAAATCATGTGATGTTACACAAGGGGAAAACCAGTCACTCACAGCCACATCAGTCAACTACCATTACCTCGCCAACCTGGCTCAGCGCCTCTTCCAGAGTCCTAACGCGCTCTGATAGAAGTCTATTCACGTCCTCCAGTCTCTGTATGGTTGAGTCCGCGGGCTGTTCAGGCAGCTCCATGTCAGCTTCATGCGTTGATGAATGGTGCTCGGATACCGCTACATTCATAGCCGTTGTTCTTTCCTTTTCAAGTTGCTCCCTTCGGAAAGAAACCAATTCCGCTTTATAAACCTCGATCTCATCCCGGAGGGATTGTATCTCCTCTTTCTCTTCCTGTGAGAGCTCCTCGCGCGTGCCCTGTCTGCCCGCTTCATCCGCCCTCACTCCCATTTCGTCGCGCGCCCGTTCTACATTGGATAGATTATGACGGAGGATTTTGACAACCTCTTCCTGTTCTTCGATTTGTTTCCGCAAAGATCGCGCTGTAGTCTCCTCTTCATGTACCGCATTGCGTAAGGCATCATCCCATTTTAATCGAAATTGCTGCAATTCCGCCCTAAGCTGCTCTGCTGACTGTTGCTCCTGCAAGATCCGTGCTTCCAAAGATTTTTTTGCGGCTTCCGAGGCATCCAAGGCATGCACAAGAGCACCAACATCCGATGAATGCCGCCGCGAAGACGATGAAGTCACAGAAGTTCCATAAATCAAAGTTCCTGCCTTCAGTGATTCTTCATCTAGTTGGCTTCGAAGCGTTTGACTTTCCATTTCGACGGACTCCGTCGCCTTTTCCTGCAGCGTTGCCTCCTCAAACAAAGCGTTGTTAGAAGGAGCGGCCTTTTTATAATCCGATATATACTTTTCAAGCTCCTGTATCCGAGAATTTTTGACTTTCAGCTCCTCCTCAAGGTATTTTACTGATGTCTGACCATTTTCCGCTCCTTCCAAGCGATACTGCAGCTCGATAACAGATTTCTGTAACTCACATATAAGGACCTCCTGCTCTTCTGTTCTTGCAAATCGTCTCTGTCCAGTATGGTCGTGGAACTCTTGCAATTCATGGTCCCGCTGCGTGTGACGTTCCAAAGCAAGCTGTAGCTCTTCTATGTGTGCCTGTAACCAATGATTTTAATATTATTAGAAGCCCACAAAAACGTCACCAGACCACAGAGCTACAGCGAGTATCGGACAGTCGTTTCTCACACGCGCACCCTAAATCTACCTGTAAATTTTCCTCGCGATGCTGGTTCGCTTCGCGCTCATTCGCCACCATCGTCTGCAGCTCCCCTAAAGAATCTTCATAATTTACAATTTTCAGTTCACGAAGCTCCAACTCCTGCGACAGACTCTTTCGCTGTCTCGTCAACTCCGCCATCTCTTCTTGCAGCTGTTCACTACGCTGCCTTTCGCTCGCAAGAAGGCCTGCTTGCTGCTCCAAATCGGCTGTCATTCGATACAAAATTTATGAGCAGGTATGACGAAATGAAAAGGAGTGAAAAAGACCCACATGAAAAGGAACTGGTACGTCCTCATCGAGGGGTCGGCCCGAATATGGCGAGAGAGAAGCTCCCCCCATCACTCCCCATCACGTCCTTCAACGTGCAACGACAATTTTCAATTTTTCTTACCTC